GGTGGTGTTGGTGGTGGTCTTGGTGGCATTGGTGGTATCAAACCCTAGAAACTTTTTGTTGCATGCATGTCCAATTTTCCTATGTTTGTGTCAAGTGTACGTTTAGTGTTTTGAAGTTTCCAAGTATTAGTAGTATTTTAATTTCCGAGTTCACTGTGTTATCTAGTGTTGTTCCTAAATTAGGATTTGGATGTACTAGGTTTAGGTTGTATTAGGTTCAATTTCCCAGTCACTGGAATTGTTGGTTATGTCTTGTTTTTCTAATTTATCGTCTTTGTTTCTTGGTGAAAAATATGGCTTCCTTTATTTCTACTCAAAGTAAGTGGATGTGGTCATAGTCTTTTCTACTTGAAAATATGCATGTTCGTAATTACAATTATGGAACTGTTGGGAGGAATAGAAATATAAAAAAGAAACGAAAAGAAAACAAAGAGCAAGATTATTCTAGATACGATGCATCACAGTCTCACGGATAAATCATAAATGATAAGCTTTGGTCGAAATGAAGGAAATCTCAATTTCTCCATCGAACAAGTCAAAGGCTATACAAACATTTGGACTGGGAGATTGACTTGAGAAATCTTCTAAAGACACTAATAGAGTAACTCAATATTTTAAAATTAAAATTTGGATATTTTAAAACTATATGAAAAGTATTATAAGTTGCAATTATTCTCATGTCAATATAATAAAAAAATACATTGTAAAATATTATCCAAAGTTCACATAGTTTGAATTTGTTAAGATCTGACTTGGATGTGAGCTTGAAGCTCGATCTTGAGCTCCAATGGCGTCATTCTAGAAAGTTCTAAGAGAGAGAGTTCATCAGAAATAGAGCAGCAAATGTGGAAAGTGGAAAGTTTAGTCTTTCTCATTACTGTTATAAATATATACACGTCTGTAACAGCTAATGCTGAGCTGGCCACTAACTACTCAACTAACACTACTCTAACAACTAACATACAACTAACACGTAACAATATATAATCAACATAATTATACAACTCTCAANCTCCTGTTAGGACCTTGGTAAGGACATCAGCCAACTGATTGTTTGTTGCTACATGCTGAAGTGAGATCAATCCCTCTTGTAACTTACTTCTGACAAAGTGACAGTCCATTTCAATGTGTTTTGTTCGCTCATGAAACACAGGATTTCGTGCTATATGTAGAGCTGATTGGCTGTTACAAAAAACTTCTACTGGTTTGTTGAAGTGCACATTGAGTTCTTCAAATAATCTGCATAGCCACACCAGCTCCGCTACTACTTTTTTTGAATGCCCTGTACTCTGACTCTGCTGATGACAGTGAAATTGTCTCTTACTTCTTAGATTTCCAGCATATAGGGCTATTTCCTAGTAGAACTAAGTACCCACTTACTGATTTCCTTGAATCTGGGCAAGCAGCCCAATCAGAGTCACAATAGGCTCTAACATTATAGGTTGGATCATGTGACATGAATATTCTCATTGAGGGATCACCCTTTCAAGTATCTAAGCAGGTGAAAAGCTGCTTTCAGGTGGGGTTCTCTTGGGTCTTGCATGAATTGGATGAGGTGTTGTATACTGTAGGATATGTTTATCCTTGTGTTGGTGAGAAAATTTAATTTCCCAACCAATTTTCTATAGTAAGTGGTATCGGGTAATGCAATCCCCTCTTTGGCTCTCAGCTTCACTGATGGATCAAGTGGTGAAGCAAGACTACTATAATCCATGCAGTTGTATTCTTTCAGTAAATCAAGCACAAATATCTTTTGTGTAATTACAATTCTATCAGCTTTATACAATATTTCCAGCCCTAGAAAATAGTGGAGTTTACCCAAATCTTTGATCTTGAAGCTTTCATGTAGGAATGCGTTTAGTTCTTCTATTTCTTCTTTGTTAGTGTCTGTCAGTATTACATCATCAACATATACTGCCACATATATTGTTGACTCAGTTGTTTTCTTGTAGAAAAGTGAATAGTCATACATAGAGTGAGTGTATCCCTTGCAGCATAGTGCTTCACTCAATTTTGCATACCACTGTCTACTTGCTTGTTTGAGACCATAAAAGGACTTTTTAAGTTTGCATACTAAATGTCTGTCCTCTACCATCAATCCTTATGGTACTTCCATGTATACCTCTTCATGGAGGTCCCCATGAAGAAAGGCATTGTTCACATCTAACTGAAACATGTCCCAGCCTTTCTTGACTGCCGCAGCTATGAGAGCTCTTACTATTGTAATTTTCACCACAGGATTAAATGTTTCTGTATAGTCAATTCCAGCTTGCTGGGTATACCCTTTGACCACCAACCTGGCCTTGAACTTTTCTACACTACCATCTGCCTTATGCTTCACTTTGTACACATATTTATACCCTATGGCTTGTTTCCCCACTGGCAATGGTACTAGCTCCCAAGTATTGTTAGCATGCAATGCCTCAAACGCTTGTGTCATTGCTGCCCGCCAAGCAGGATACATAGCTGTTTGTTCTGATTTGGATTCTTAGTAGGTGTGTGAGTATGGGGATAAGATAAGGTATTGACAGAAAAGGATGTATTAGTGGTATTGGTGTTTGGTTTGAGTTGAGGTAATTTGTGAATATAATCTTTCAGGTATATGGGAACTTTGTGTATTCTATGAGATTGCCTTGGTATTAAGACATGTTCAAGTGTGCTTGCAGATGTTATTGGTGAGTCATTTGGTGTATCTTCTGGAGTATGTAAATCTATATCATTGGGAGAAAGGTATGAAGGAATAGAAAATAAATCTAGATATGTGACATTTGAAACTCTTTGATCATTTGACTCACTGGTTTGCTTTTGCTCATTCTCATTAGACACATAATCAATGAAAGGAATAGACTGAACAGTATGAGGAAATGAAGTAGTGCCCTTAGACATGCAAAAAGGGAAGCCATTTTCATTAAAAATTACATCTATAGATACATGTGTTTTCTTGGTGGCCAAACTGAGCACTTTGTACCCCTTTACCCCAAAGGGATATCCAATAAAAACATGTGCTGTGGTTATAGGTTCAAACTTATCTTTGTGGATTTTGGGTACTGTAGGGTAACATACGTACCCAAAACTCCTCATATGAGAGTAAGTAGGCTTTCTATTATATAGTAGTTCATATGGTGACTTGACTTTAGAATGAGAAGAAGACAGTCTGTTTAATATATAGGTTGCACATAGGATACATTCACCCCAATATTTTAAGGGTAATTTTTATTGGAATAAGAGGGCTCTAACTGTCTCTAACAAGTACCTATACTTTCTTTTCACTATGTCATTTTGTTGTGGTGTATAAGGACATGTCTTTTGGTGGATAATTCATTTGGATAGGAAAAACTGATTGGCTTCTGTATTGTTAAATTCCATGCCATTATCTGACCTTATAGATTGGATAGTGGTACTGAATTGGTTTTCAACTATTGACACAAAATTCTTGATGACTTGGAGACCATTACTTTTGCTGGTCAGTAGGTGAGTCCAAGTGGATCTACTTTAACCATCTACCATGGTGATGAAATATTTGAAATTATCATGGGTTGGCATATGATAAGGACCCCAGAGATCAACATGAAGTAGCTGAAATATCTTGGTAGAATCAGTGAATTTTTCTGGGAATGGTAATCTTCCCTGTCTTGCCATTGGGTAGACAGAGCAGGTAAAAGGTTGTTTTGGGGAGAAGGATGCTAGGATAGTAGACATTCCCTTCATCTTGACAAAGGGTACATGGCCCAGTCTATTGTGCCACAACACATTTATGTCACTACTTGAAGACATCAAAGAATTAACACCATTCACAATGGAAAGTTGCACTTTATTATTTGGGGAACATGTATTTACAACAAAATGAGATGTGCAACTATTTCTAGACAGTGAGCCATTTACAGTGGGATGATGAAAACAATGTGAGATGTGTGTGCAACAAGTGGAAGAAATAGAACTAGCATTTGGATTACTTACAAATAATCTTGAATGTTTGTTCTTGAGACACCTTGGGCAGAGAAGATAGAGTCCATCACTGACTTTACCAATTTCCAAAGGCCTCTTCATTGAAGGGGCCTGTAAAATACAGATATTATCAGTAAAGACAACTATGCTTTGAGGAGTGGAACTAGTTAATGAATAAATTGATATGAGATTGTATTTGAAAGAGGGTATGTACATAATCTTATGCAAAATGATATTAGGAAACAATGTCACACTTTCAATTTGTGTTACTTTTACCTTATATCCGTTTGGAGGAACTACTAATAGGGGATATGGTAAGGTCACAATGTTGGTTAATAAAGACAAGTTGAAGGTCATGTGATTAGATGCTCCTGAATCTAATATCCAGGAGTCTGCCTTATTTTTAAAGCACTCACAGGATAATTTGCTAAAATCAATGGAGGAGGTGCAAACTATTATACCTGCAAAGTTCACAGCACCATTGGCATGACTTGTGCAACTGGAGCTTTCTACTCCTGTTCCAATTTGAAAATAATGCGGTAAGCTTAGGATCTGCCCATACTGTTCCTTAGAGAGATTTATTTGCCCCACCTCATTTCCATCTTCTGATTCATCTTTTCCTGTTGACATTGCTTCAGAAGAAGTGCCCTGCACATTGGCCACTATTCTTCTTCCTTTGTTGAACCTTTCAACTCCGTTCAAATTCTGTCCTCAATTTGAATTCTGAGTGTATGAATTTCCAAAGTTCTGAGGGTACCCATGTAACTTGTAATATTTGTCTTTGGTATGTCCTAGCTTTTTGCAATAGTCACAGAATGGACGAGGGCTATTGCCTCCAGTTGAATTGTTATTAGCAGAATAATTGGTTATGTAAGAGCCAAGTCTTGATGTGTTGACACTTAGGGAGGCAGACTCAAGTAACATTTGATTACTTGTCTTAATCTCTCTTTGTTTCTCATCCTAAACAAGTAACGAGAAGGCCTGTGCAAGGTTTGGTAGTGGATTCATCATAAGGATGCTGCCTCACACAACAGTGTAGACTTCATTGAGTCCCATGAGAAATTGTATCAATCTTCTGTCCTGCTTGGCCTTGTGCATGTTCTCCTTGGCACCACATGTACAGGTGCAACTGCAGTGAGTCATTTTGCTCAAGGTATTTAGCTCTTCCCATAGCTTTTTTAGCTTAGTATAGTAGCCTGTAATGTTCAACACACCTTGAGACAAATCATTTATCTCCTTTTGGATCTGGTATAATCTGGCACCATTAGTCTGCTCATATCTATCCTCCAATTCTTTCCACAGCTCAACAGCATTGCTAGCATATTCCACATTATCCGCAATATCTTTAGAAAGTGAATTTAGAATCCAAGACGTTACCATATCATCGCATCGCTCCCATTGTCTGAATCTCTGAGATTGAGGCACCGGTGGCTTACACTCTCCACTTATGAAACCTAGCTTGTTTTTTACAGATAAACCATGCATTACACTGTATCTCCAAGACCTGTATCCAATTCCACTAAAAGGAATTGAAACGAGCATTGCTCCAGGATTATCTGACGGATGCAGATAAAGAGGATCACTTGGATCTATTCCGATGTTCGTCGCAACTGGAACAACAGTATCACCAACAAATGTATTTTCCTGATCTAATATGGCCATGAGTATAGAACTTTGTTGTGTTATATACTAACACCAGCAGAAATTTGAAGAATTGACTGTCAATTTTGCGATTTGAAGAAATTAGGCAAAAATCGATCTAATTGAAGAAGCAGAATTATGAGAAGAAGAAATTGGGGAAAATGAACGGAGACAAAGACGTATAATCGAGGATGAGCTTCTCTTGCTCTGATACCATGTTAAGATCTGACTTGGATGTGAGATTAGCGCTCGATCTTGAGCTCCATTGAGTCATTCTAGAAAGTTCTGAGAGATAGAGTTCATCAGAAATGAGAGCAGCAAATGTAGAAAATGGAAAGCTTAGTCTTTCTCATTACTATTGTAAATATAGACATGTGTGTAACAGCTAATGCTAAGCTGGCCACTAACTAATCAACTAAAACTACTCTAACAACTAACATATAACAATATATAATTAACATAATTATACAACTCTTAATAGAATCATGCGAAAAACAAAAAATGTCACATAAATTGGGACAAAAAGAGTATATGAGATGTCATTTCAAACCTCACACTTAAATTTATTCTCTACGGTCCACAAATTAAAATGAACTAATGATGCATGCCTATCACGTGTCATATAAATTAAGTTGCAGTCAAGTAATATCATAATTCATATTAATTACAATATCGCGAAACTATAGGATATAAATCCCCTTAAACCCCATTTTCTATTTGCTGGCTCATTCATTAATTCCCCCGAAAATCTTTTAGTTTAGGTGCGATATGACATGTTCAAAGTAAATAAATAAGAAAAATTCTAGCAGAATAATCTGGAGTTGACTCTAAATGACTGATATAATGCAGTAATTAAAAAGTACTTAGGTAATTTAACCCTCATACATGCTATTTTGATGATTCAACTTATTTGATTGGTGCGCTTAATTAGTTGCATAGATCTTAATTAAAGAATATTACTTTAAAATGAAAAACATATAATTTCTAAGTATCTTGTAAAATGAAATTGCTTCAACTATAATTACTCTATAGCAGAGGGAGATGAAACTTTGACGAAATCACGCCTTTGGAGTGCATCCTATGAAGTTGAAATGATATAGAGAAGATTAACATAATGATCCATTAGAAAAAGATCTTTGCCAAATTACTAGCCGACTAATTAATATTATACCAAATCAACTAGGGAATTCCCCTTCCTGGGGCTTGTATAAATTTTATGTAACGACTTGACCGATTATTTTGAGTATTTGTAGTTCGCTCGGTGGTTTGAGAACATGAGTAGCTCCATATGATGTATTATGACTTATGTGAATCGTCGGTTTTGGTTTTCAGGTTATTCGGATTTTGAAGAATGATTCTCAACTAGAAAGCTTTAAATTTGAAAGAGTTGACCAAGTTTGACTTTTTAGTAGTTGACCTCGGATCGGATTTTTGATGGTTCCAATAGCTTCGTATGACTATTTTGGACTTAGGAGTGTGTTCGGAAATTATTTGGAAGTTCGTAGTTAAATTAGGCTTGAAATGGCTAAAAACGGAAATTTAAATTTGGAAGTTTGACCAGGGAGTTGACTTTTTTATATCGGGATCAAAATTCGATTCTGGAAATTGGAATAGTTCCATTATGTCATTTTATGACTTGTATGCAAAATTTGAGGTCAATTGGACGTGTTTTGATAGGTTCGACATCGAATGTGGAATTTAGAAGTTCATAAGTTCTTATGCTTGAATCAATGTGCGATTCGTGTTTTATCCTTGTTAGGCGTCATTTGAGACCCCGAGTAAGTCCGTATTATGTTACAGAACTTGTTGGTATATATTTGAATGGGATCCCGAGTGGCTCAAATGAGTTCCGGAGTGAGTTTTGAACGAGTTTGGGCATTTCGACACTTCTGGTGATATTATGGGATAGTTGAAGTGCGGAGTGCATAATTTTGAGGGCACAAGTGTGACCGCACATCCCCAAAGTGATGTGGCAGAAGGAATTGTGCGGACTGCACTTGAATATGTATGGACCGCAGTTGAAATTGTGCGGTCCGCAGAATTCTCTCGCGGCCGCTGAAATGTGATTTCGCAGATTCGCTGGTCCGACTTTGAAAGCTTATATCTTTTGATCTACAAGGAATTTGGAGATGATTCAAAAATAAAAGTTATATCCCTTCGTATCTAGTTTCCATAAAGGTAAAGAGAACATTATTTGAATATTTGTATACAAAGTTATGGCCATTTTACTTAGCCTCGTAGGGCAGAATTTGCTTAAGTGAGGCCGCATAATTTGGATTGCGGCCGCAGGACCTGAGATGTGCGATCACAATTGAAAATGTGCGGTCAGCACTTTGTAGGGCGGCTTTGGTACTACATAAACGAGGTTAGGGTATTATTTCACATTTTGAACTTTGGAAGCTCGATTAGTGATGATTTTTCGTGAATTTTTCAAGAAATTCATCGGGGTAAGTGATTCTAACTCGGATTTGGTTAATATACATAAATATATCATTATTTTCATCATTTCATTAGTATTTTGAGATGAAAATTGGGGTTTTTAGCCTAAAGTCTCATAAAGTGAATTTTCGAGTTTTGAACATCGATTCAGACTCGGATTTGAGTGAAACCAGTATGGTTGGATTCGTAATTGAATGAGTTATCGGATTTTGTGAGTTTTGTTAGATTCCGAGGTGCGGTCTCGGGTTGGACTTTTGGGATGATTATGGGCTTTTGATTAAAGATTCAATGTTTATCGATGAGTTTGTTTCCTTTGGCATTATTTGATGTATTTAAGTTGCTTTTGAATAGTTTTGAGTTGTTCGGAGGTAGATACACACGAGATGGAATTTTTAGAGCATTGCTTGGCTTGCTCGGTATTGGAATTGTCTCATTCGAGGTAGGTAACTATTCTAAACTTAGTGCTGAGGGTATGAAACCTTGAATTACGTGTTATGTGATTGGTGTTGAGGTGACACAGATACCAGGTGACAGGTGTGTGGGCGTGCACCGTGTGAATTGTGACTTCGTTATTTCTGTGGTACTGTGTAGTTACCTGATCTTACCCGTAACCATGAAATTTCTACGTACTTGAGTTATTGAGCTGTGATCCATGTTAGAAACTATGTCTAGGCTACATGCTTATCCTATTGGGACCCACAGTGGATATTTCTACTATTGAGTTATTTGCTTTCATTGCTTTATATACTCAGTCATACGCATTCATATGCATATCATATCTCACTTTCTGTTGTTATTTATTGATACATCATATCATCATTTTCGGGTTAGTTTCATAATATTTTGAGCATGAGAGAGAGAGAGAGACTAGAGAGATTGATGTTTGAGTGAGGCCGAGGCCCGATTGTGAGGATATTGATACTATAGCACGTGAGTTGTCCGTGCGGATTCTGAAATTGATATTGTAGCACGTGAGTTGTCTGTGCGGGCTCTGATATTGATACGATATCACGTGAGTTATTCGTACGGATTCTGATATTGACACTATGGCACGTGAGTTGTCCGGGCAGATTATAACGCTTGGGTTGTAGGAGCCCCTCCGGAGTCTGTACACATCCCCAGTGAGCGCAGTTGATTATATTGAGGGATAGATCTTCCCTGGACATGGATATTGTCCGAAGTATTTATATACGTGGAGATGGATCTTCGCCACTATTACATCCTGCATTTTCGTATGTTAAAGTTTCGTCGTAAGTTAATCGACATAAGTTCGGGGAGGAAATTATTTTGAGATTTTAATCATTATGCTATTTCAAACAAATGATAAGTAAATTCGTGAAGGTGAGAGGGGAAGAAAGTCAAAAAAATAAATTTTTGTCCAAGTTTGGCATGTTGGGATAAATACAGCCCGAGCTAAAATACTTGATATTTATGGACTAGTGTCATATGAGGTACCACATGGAAATGATAGTAAGGTGTATAAGGTATGTGAAAAATGAGTAGTATTTTAAGTAAGTGGGAATAATTCTCAATTATGTGGGTAATTGGTTAATTATTGAGTAATGTGATATTACCTAGTTAATTAATAACTAGTGGTGGATTAATTAAAAACTTTGGATAAATATTAAAATTTCTCCCACCCCCAAAACATGGCAACAATGCCATTTCTTAAGATCATGACTATTAACTAGTCTTGATTAGTTGTCATGCCAAAATAAATTCAAGAAGACACCTCACCTTTTCTTATACTTTGGATACAATTAAAACCTTAGCACTCTTGCAATCAAAAAAACATAAACATTAACATTCTCTCAAATACATAAAACGTTGGCCATTTTTTTAAAAGGCTTTCAATAAAATTCTTTCTCAAAACACTTCAATGAATTACTACATTGATAACGTGAGTTCTTCAACCAAAAATCCGATGAGGTTTCCTAGTAAACTTAGCAACGTGAGATTTTGCGATTCTAAGGGATTACGGTGCAGCCTTTTCCAAGAATATCATACGGTTTTTTTTCTATTCCAGATATGTTAAAGTTATCCCTTCTTTATTTTGGCATGATCCATATGATGCAAACGAAACGTGCAAATACACAACTTCCATAAATGACTCTATTCATAGAAATACTAGAGATGGTTATGTTCTTGATTCTCCATGTGTCATATTCTTCTATCATCTGTTCATGGGTCTCAGAAAAATACGTAAGTTGAAAAAGTTTACTTCATGATATTATTCAAAGGCATAATTGTCTTATGACACTCCAAGAGATTTCATTGACGTACTTCTCATGCATTACATTCATGTACATTGACCCATGACCATATGGAATTATATACGCGTATATATGTATATTATATTTATATGGGATACGGAAAAAGATTACGGTGTTATACAAATACCACCACCTGATCAGTTGGTATTGTAAGCACGTGATTTTTGCCCTATATGAGAAATACTCCCAAAAAATGTAAAATAAAATG